TTGAAGTTGAAATCTAGGGGGGTGGCAGATTTATGATCTTATCCGGCAGGGTCCTTTACGCTTAAAATATTTTGTCATTCGCCGAATTATCTCATAACATTTTTGCGCAAATATGAAAGATTCAATATATTTTATAACTCCAAATATTATCAATTCATTGTTCATTCCATTCGAATCATTTATCGTTATAACAATTGAAATAATTTTGCTATTTTATCTTCTCTGTCTTGCCTCTTCTCATTAATCATTTATCTCCATCATACTATAGATTCTTTCAATGTTCTTCTATAAGTAAATATTCTTTTTTTCGATTTTTTGAAATATACAAAACTCTTATTTGAAGCTTTGATCAAAGCCTCATTCATTGCTCCCTGCTGCTAATAATAAATATATTTTTATTACAAGTCTAATTCTTGATGATAATTGTACTCGAAATAGATTATTTCATAGATCCATCAACTTTCATGATTGGCTTTAAAAAAATGATGTAAAAATTACTTATCTAAATTAATTTATTATAGGTTTTTGGTCTTAAATTCAGGTTAAAGAATGAATTATATAATCACTTTTTCTGAAATGAATTTTTATTATGTTACCACTAGGGTGTTTGCTAGAGGATACTATATAATAATATAATATTACGAACAGATCATCGAACTGGATTTATGCAAAAATTTATACAGAAAAGTACTATCTTTATTGTCTATCAAGTTAACGAGGGAGTATATTCAACTGTCGAATATCATTCGACTTGACATCATGACTACGAGTAGATCTCAGTGAGACTAAGAAAAGCTTGAAAAGATTCTGGTCTGTGACCTATTCTCCTTCGAATTTTTCTTAAATGACTTGTTTTCACTAAAAATTTCGTTAAACCGATCATAACTTACCAATAGTAGACTATAAGTTTGAATCCTTTTAAGCTTTTCTTAGTCTCACCAAGACCTACTCGTAGTCATAATGTGAAGTCGAATGGCGTCCAGCAGTTGAATATGTTCCTTCGTAAGTCTAAAAATTCTGTTTCCGGTATTAGTATATAATGGAAGTTATGTACTGTTATCGTTTTTTCATATTTTGATATCAACATCCTCTTCGTTTTTATCGACTTCTCAGTTATTATTTGTATTCTTCATATAATGTATACGTTTCTTTGACAAAACGATCATTGTTAATAAGTTGTCTCAGCATCTACATATAAGTAAGATGTTTATTTTTCTGGCCATCTCAACTGATATTCATCACGCTAAGCATCATTATTAGTGAACATTCACTTGGTAAATCAATGGTCATTTCTTCTATAACTACTCGAATAAGAATATTTCATTAAATCACTATTATCAAACGATACCTGTATAAAAGATTTTTATCTATTCTCAAAAGCAAAATCGAAATTTCAAAATTAAATAAAAATGCATATTGAAGAAATTCGATTTCTGATTGATCTTTGTTTTCATAGGCATTACACGGAACTGAGTAATATAAATGACACTGATTCCGAGATTTTTAATCCCGGTATTATAAAACAAGCAATTTTTATCTAAAAATAATAATATATTAGACTACACGTAGAAATATTCCAAGATCAACACTACTGAAGAGAAATCGATGACTCACGAGGTCAATTTGAAACATTTCGTAAGGATTGATCGATTTTATTTTTCGTAGAAGAGGACCGAGTTCTTCTTGGAGAAAAACAGTAGCAAAGAAAATAATAGTAAGACGCTGGAACTTCGCTAAAGTAAAACACATATTTAAATGATTGAGTTGATCTTACCTCCTGCTTGAAGCACTTTGGACCGCAAAGAACAGCAAATAAATAATAATTATAAAAATAAATAAGTTGTCATTTGGGAACCATATGCAAGTGTTCTTTTTTGATGTTATCACTTCCGACTTTTTCCAATTCTCAATTAAATAAAAAATGCCCTTCTTTTTTATACTAACAAAGATAGCGCATAAATGAGTCATATTGCAAATATCTGGCATAAATCTTGGAAAGAAAGAGTAAAAACGCACTAGACTCTGGTTCCTTGATAACTATCTCACATAAATACTACACACAGATACACATTTTCTCTTGTTTTTTGTTAGATACGAAAATATAATACGAACTATAGAGAAATCAAATAATGATAAATGCTTGTCGACTATATATAAAAAAAAACAATTTGTCACAAATGCATATAGTAATAAGATTATTTTTAATTTTTTCAGATAACATTTTATATTCAAACCAAAATGATTCAAGTTAAACGATATCTCAATAATAGTGAACTTCCTCATGAAGAAACGAAGAAATTAAGAAGTAAGTTAAACATATTCAACTTAATATATGATTTATTTTTTTTAATTTATTTTTATATAGCAAAATATAATGACAGGTAAGAAAAAAAGAATATACCATTAACTTCATTGATTTTTTTTAATCTTTTTTATAGAAAAATAACTAATTGTTTGGAAAATTTATCAAATGAACTTTTCTATGAAATTTTCGATTATCTTGATGGTTGTGACTTATTTAAAGCATTTTCAAATCTTAATATTCGTTTTGAAGCTCTACTTACTTCTTTATTTCTTTTATTGAAAATTGATCTTCGTTTTCATCCAGAAGTTATCCGACGATATCGTTCTACTTGCATTGTCGTTCCGAACAAACATCGAATTATTTCATTGAGTTTGACCAATTTTTATCTTTATAATTCAACTTTTACACGATTTAACATCGATTCATCATTTAGTCGACTCGAATCACTTGTCTTAGACAATATGAAATCAAATGAACTCATACCTCTTCTTATAAATTTAATCTCTTTACCTCGTCTATTTTCATTGACTATCTATTATGATGATGATCTCAAAGACCTTAGCAATATATATCAAATCATTTTCAACTTACCAATGTTAAACTATTATAAATTGTCATTTTCCTCACTTGAATCGTTTATTCCTATATCAAGAGCAACAAACGATCAATTTAGTAGTATTAAATATCTCGTTATTGATCATTGTTGTACTCTGGATGAATTAATTAATATAATTTCATATACACCTCAACTTTGTCGTTTAACTTGTGAAGAAGTGAATGAATCAACGAAAAACATTGTAAAAGACACACTTAATACAATATTCAGTTTAACTCATATTTTCATTGCTAAGTGTTATGCTCAGTTTGATGAACTAGAAACATTTCTCACCAATGTATCACCTCAATTAGAAGTATTATGTATCAATACTTTCAAAGATGTGAACTATTTGGATGCTAATCGATGGGAACAAATTATCTCACAATATTTACTTTATTTAAATACATTTGAATTTCAATACGAAGAATTTATTGATGAAGATTTCAAAGCAAGTGTTTATCATGAATTAATTAATCATTTCAATTCTTCATTCTGGATAGAACGAAAATGGTTCTTTACAATTTCTATTAAGACAGATTCTTGGGATGATAATATTATTGCCTATTCCATTGTTTCATACAGGTTTATTCAAAAAAAAAAAATCATTTTTCTCAATAGTTTTTATCTCTTTTTTTCAGACAAACTCGAGACAACTTTGAGAAAGAGAAGAAAAACAATCACCAATTCATTGGTGAAATCTATGAAAATGTGATACAACATAATGTTATATCTAATAAACATGTTTCTATTATACTAAATGTTACCGATCTCTCTCACACTGATAGTGATGAATTGTTTATTGATATGATTAGTCCAATTTTAGCTATGATACCAATTACTTGTTTAAATATTACTCTAAATGAGATTTTCATTGGTACATTAATTGATCTGATGAAATGTTTATCTAATCTCGATTCATTATTTATATCAACTTTATCAATGATACAACCAAGATGTTTATCTATTGAAGAAATAAAAATTTTTCGTTTGTTATCAAATACGAATAAAATTACTAAAGTTAATCTTGAGAAAATGAATGATTTGGAAGAAGTTCAATTTCTTGTTGATCTTTGTCCTCGAATGAAATATTTCGAGATAGATTGTACAAATGGTATCTGTCCTGAAAAAGTTCTACGATTTATTTTAATGAAAAATTCCAAATATATTCGTAATCTATGTGTACTATGTCTTAAAATTTCACCAATGAATATGAACATCATTGACAAACTAAAAAATATAATTGACATTGAACAATTGTGTCAGACATATACAATCGAACAAATAGACAGTAGAATTTATTTCCGATTGAACTTGTGATAATTGTTCTTTTAT